GGGGGATCATGTACGCAGGCAGAGCAGATGAGGAAAAGCAGGCTTCAGAGTGATCACAAGTAGGAGAAGAGCCACTGGGACCTGGAAGCCACCGGAAGGATCAGGGATTAGGAATCCACAGTGACCAGAGTGTGACACTGAAGAAAATGACCAAAAGATACCATTACCTTGGAGAATCAGTGACCTTTCAAAGAATATCAGCCACCATGGAGGGGAAAGTCAGAGGGCAACATCAGTTAAAAACGCCAGAAGCAGCAACGTGAAGCTACTCTTTAGTAAGGTCAGAAAGAATGGTGATAGCCCTGGCCGGCGGCTCAGTTGGTTGAAGCATTGGCCCATACACCAAAAGGTTGTGGGTCTGATCCCCGGTTGGGGTGGGTACGGGAGGCAACCAATTGATATCTCTCTCTCTCCCTCCCTCCCTCTCCCTCTCCCTCTCCCTCTCTTTCAAATTAATTAAAATAAATCCTCACGTGAGGATTAAAAAAAAAAAAGAATGGTAACAAAATAGTCATGGGATGTAAAGTACAGCATGGGTAACATAGTCAGCAATATTGTAATAAGTATACATGGTGTCAGATGAGTACCAGGCTTATCCAGGGGATCACCTTGTAAGTTATATACACGTGTAACCACTATGCTGCACACCAGACACTATGTAATATTGAATGTCAACTGTAATTGAAAAAACATTTAAAAGAACTGTTGAAGAGTAATTATTTGGGGGTTTAGAACAGGAGAGTTGAATGTGTAGAATGTGAGAAAGGAACCAAAGGCGGGGGAGCTATGGAAAGGTGAGAAAATAAAAGTACATGAATTATTGAGGTCCTGAAGAAATGAGAGAACACTGGATCAGGAAACAGAAGACTGTTAAAAACGGCAGGCCAACAACGCACCTGCCCCTCCCTTCCCGACTCCCTACTGAGACTACTAAATAGTTAGAGCTACTCGAGAGTAAAACTATTAAATTTGTTTTACTAAGATAAAGAGAACCAGAGGAGATAACTGCAGAGAGATCTGGGGAAATACAGAGCAGGACAAATGGTAACTTAGTTCAGTACATTCTCTGCCTTACTCACAGCATGCGCGTAGGATCCCGACAAGAGCAAACCAACGAACCCTGCAGAATCCCTGAGGGGCTGAGCACCCGCAGGCACCAGGATGCCAGAGGGCAGGGGTGGATCTTGAAAGCAGTTAGATTATTTAACAGCAGACAGAGTAAGTTAGACCCAGAGCCTCTCCTCAACCCCGTGTAGTAAGACATCTAACCCTACAGAAGACAAGGGCTTTGTCCTTTGGAGAAATTTCACAAGAGGACTCTCTGGATTCAAAGGCCTCAGGTACAGTGGGCCAGGAGGGGGAAGTGTCAGACTGAACACTGGCAGATTAGCAATAACCTGCACACTGATCTGCCCCGTCCAATAACAGCAGCATCCAGCTACAAAACCACGTAACTGCCCCTCCCCATCATCCCTCACACCTGCCTCCCTCCTCCCTACCTCCAGGAGACTGGACAATCCTCCAGGGAAACCAAGTGCCCCAGAGAAATGCCCCGTATACGCTCACCACCCATCACCCACGGGAAAGCCCCATCTGTTCACACGGAACTGACAGCCGAGGACACCCAAGGACCACCATCCGAGGATCACACAGCGGAGTGGAGCCAAACCAAACAGATAAATCCAAGGACCCCGGAGACAGTAAAGAGGCGGAAGACTTCACAGCAGTCTGGAGGCCGCCTGCAACGGCCCAGAGAGAGACTGAATTTGGCCAGCACGGTTACCTTAAAAATAAAAATAAACCCACGTAATGATCTGTATTTTTTACTTGTCCTGAAAAATCAAACAATCTGGCAAGTCCAGACTCGTATGGTAACCACGTGTCTGGAGCCACGAGCCGGAAAGAAAGGAACGAGCCAAGGTGAGTGGGCCTGGACGCTCAGGGGGGCGGGGTCAAGCTATCACCGGACTCACAGAAGGGTCCGTGACCCAAAGAGAGGTTAAGAGCCTCGAAACAGCCCCCCTCTTTTCCTGCCCCAACCGTTTATCATCCTCTGAGTGTTCGGCCCTCTGCTCCTCCAACATCTGTGCCTTGGCCAAGGTCCACATTTCACTCCTCTAATCTCTCTTCAGTCACTCCCTCTGGCCCTCAATCACCTTTATGACTCTTCTAAATCCCTCCGGTTTGCCCACATCTGGCCGAACGCTCTAGGAAGATGCAATACGCTTCAGGTTACTGAGCAAGAGTCGCCGGAGAGCTTCCAGGAGGAGCACCAAGATTGGACGTGTTACATCAACTTCTCCCAGGCAGCTGCCCAGCTCGGAATGGAAAAGTGCAGAGACTGTCCTGGCCAGTCTGGCTCAGCAGTCAGAGAGTCGGCTTGTGCACCAAAGGGTCGAGAGTTTGATTCCCAGTCAAGGGCATGTACCTGGGTTGCAGGTTTGATCCCCAACCCAGGGCCGTGCAGGAGGCAACCAATTGATGGGTCTCTCTCGCATCAATGTCTCCCCTACCTGCATCCCTGCCTTCCACTCTCTCTAAAAATCAAAGGAGCCCAGGCCAGTTTGGTTCAGTGCTTAGAGCGTTAGCCTGCGGACCGGAGAGTCCCAAGTTTGGTTCCCGCTAAGGGCACGTACCTCGGATGCAGTTTGTCCCCGGCCCTGGTTGGGGTTATGTAAGTGGCAACCACTCAATGTGTCTTTCTCAAATCGATGTTTCTTTCTCTCGCTTCCCCACCCCCCCTCCTTCTCACTCTATCTGAAGATAAATGCAAAAATGTTCTTGGGTGAGGATTAACAAGTGCAGATCACTGCAGGGAATGGGAAGAACTTCTTCCTGGGTTAATGAGTCTGGCATATAGATATTCCCTATTATTTCTTGTGCATTTTAACTATTTATCTCAATGGGTCAAGAGAGTTCTGCTCTTGCACCATCTGAAATATCCTGGAGAAAAGAGGAAGAATCAAAACTACCCACAGCTCAGAACGCATGTCTACCATCTCTGACTTGATTAGAAACACACACACACACACTGGTTCTATGCAGAAATGTGTAATCAGCCCAGCCGGCTCTGCCCAATCCCAAGGCTTCTTGCAGTCACACTGAAGCATCAGGCAATTTGCCCTGACTAGAGGTAATCACAACACACAAATAAATTCCTGCCAAATCAGAATTAATGTAAATGCCTCTCACAGCTTTTCGAGAGACAGAAAAGCCTGCCCTTCTAAGATACCTTCCCCTGGGTTAATGAGTTTGATACTTCTGCTTATCACAAGTCAAAGGTAACTTGGTAGTTGGGCTGATACACCGTCTTTCTCAAATTGCTTCACTGTAGGGCTTCTCCTTTGTAAGGTGCTTTGTTTTTTGAACGTGCAGAGTTTTTGGCCCCACCACTCTCCCCAAGCTTCCATAAGCAAAGTCGGGGAACCGGGGCCTCGGGCAGAGTAAGGCTCTGGGGGAAACCCTGGGAACCAGGGATTGGCATCCATCCTTGTCTGAGGCCCCGCGGAATGGAGCATCCAGGCGGGTATCCTGTGAAGTCCCCTCCAGACAGAAACTGCACCTACAGCCCACGCACGGAGCACTTTGAGAGGAGTGTCCCTCTAAATGGTGAACGAGCGGAATGAGCTACTGGAATCTTGGCCTGGGCCTGAGAAGGGAATTCACAGCCCCTCTACTTCCCTCTGAGCTGGCCAAACCCCACCGTCAGCAGGACAGATCTGACTTTTGAGATACCCACTTTAAAAATGGACTTCTCAACATTTTGAACGATTCTTAGAGAATCTGAACCCTCCTCCCAGAAAAACGCAGGCACGCATCCATTTGCTGTCAGTTGAGAGGTTCTCAGAACTCGGAGCCCAGCCACTGAGTTCACGTTAAGCAAGGCTGCTTTCGAGAAGCAGGCACCGAGAGGAGCACACGGACAGCAACAGGAGCTGCATTTGGTAAGGAGCAGCTAAAGGAACGACTAACTTAAAGGAAAAAACAATCAAGAATTGAGGCTATGAGGCTGGTGTATTTGAAGGCATATCAAGTGGAAGAGGAATTAGACGTTTGTTCTAGTATCTCCTCTCCCCAGGGTGCTGTCCCTGATTTCCCTGGGCAGATCTTGCTGTCCTTCTTCTGTGTTCCTGTAGCCCCATGAGTATACTGAAATTCAAACCCCTAAGACACAAGGCCTTTAATCTAAAGGGCCAGAGAGGGGCTCCACTATGGCTTGAAATGCCTAAGAAAATGCAATGCTGGGAGACCCCATATCCACCCCTCTTTGCTTCATAAAAATCATTCTCAGCTCATGGGCCATAAGGAAACAAGTCTTGGGCTGGCTTTGAGCCAGAGACCACAATCTGCCATCCCCTGGACCAGACCACAACCCTGACCAGTCCATCTCCACTCTCCCAGCGACCAGCTCAAGTCATAACGCATTTCACCCGGGGGTCCCCGCTCTGACACAGTGCTGGGTACACAAAGTTAAATGTATGCAGGAATAAATTCTGCTCGTCTTCCAGGACTGAGCTCAGGTGACACCTCCAGAAAGACTTCCTTCATCCCCCAGTTTGAACTGATTTTGCCCTCGCCTTGCGGTGCCCACGGACCACTCCAGACACCTAGTTACACTGTGCATTGTGCCCCAGCTCACATGCCTTAAAGTGAACAGCTTAGAAACCCTGAGAATTCATTTCTTGCCAATTTTCAGGTTGTTTTGTTTTTTTTTTCTTATGTGAAATAACCATTCCCTGTGGATTTCCATCAGCCAGCCTTTTAAAAGCCATATCAAAAGTGGGGATGGCTCCAAGAAATCTGTCAAATATCCTCATGCAGCTGTTCACATCTTAGCATTTAAGTAGTTGTAACTGCAGCTGAGAAAACAAGTCAACTCTGTGGGTGTTATTTACTGCATCTGTGATGATTCCTTTTTCTGCTCCTCCAAAGATAGACAATTGGACGGAGATATCTGGGTTTAGAAACTACCAAGATTGAAACAAGTTTTTGTTACCCACAGTTGATTTTCCTTGCCATTCTTTTGGGGTGAGGATGAAGTGATTTGAGAAAATATCATCTTGCAATTTCAGAAGGCAGATTACTAAATGTATCCAGTGGTACAGCCACAACTCGGCGGTATAGACAAGGTTTTCCCTCACGTTCTGAGCACAGAAGACCAAGAGTACAGCCGTTTTCCATGACGTCCTTGCCGGGATCACAAACACACTGACATTTACATTCCTCAAAACAAGGCGGAATCAAAATGTACAGACCAATAGTCACGCAGTTTGACTAGAAAAACAAAGGGAATTAAAGTGTGTTAATCTTCTTGACTCATATGAGGAAAAGCTACGAATTAAACTTTGCTGGAAAATAAATTAAAAATGAATATTAAAAAGAGATAATCCACCCTGGCTAGTGTGGCTCAGTTGATTGGACATGGTCCTGTGCACCGAAAGGTTGCTGGTTCCATCCCCAGCCAGGACACATGCCTGGGTTGTGGGCTCAATCCCAGTATGGGGGCATGCAGGAGGCAGCTGAGATGTTTCTCTCTCACATCAATCAATCAATCAATCAATCTCTCTCCTTTCCTCTCTCTCTAAAAATCAATTTTTAAAAAGTAGGGCCCTGACCAGTGTGGTTTAGTGGTTAGAACACTGCCCATGCACCAAAGGGTCTCAGGTTCGATTCTTAGTTAAGGGCACATACCTGGGTTGCAGGTTCGATCCCCATCCCTGATCAGGATGCTAGTGGGAGGCAACCAATCAGTGTGTCTCCCTCACATGTTTCTTTCTCTCCCCCCCCCCACTCCCCCTCCTTCCCTCCCTTCCACTCTCTCTAAAAATCAATGGGGAAAATATCATCAGGTAAGGATTAACTAAAAAGATATAGTCCATGAATTTAATGTGGTATCTTAGTGGGATCCTGGAACAGGTATAAAACAGTAGGGAAACACTAGGAAATCTGAATAAATATGGACTTTAGCTTTGACTAATGTATCACTGGCTCATTCATTGTGAGAAGTACCCCTTACTAATATAAGATGTTAATAGTGGACACTGGGCATGGGGTATATAGGAACCCTCTGTTCTATCTTTTCAGCTTTTTTAAAAATTTAGACCTAGCCCTGGTCAGTTTGGCTCAGCGGTTAGAACGTTGGCCCACAGTCCAGAGAGACCCGGTTCGGTTCCCGCGAAGGGCATGTACCTTGGTTGCAGTTTGTCCCCGGCCACTGTTGGGGTTTTGCGGGTGGCAGCCACTCGATGTGTCCCTTTCACGTCGATGTTTCTCTCTCTCTCTCTCTCTCTCTCTCTCTCTCTCCCTCCCTCCCTCCCTCCCTCCCTCCCTCTCTCTCCCTCCCACTCTGTCTGAGCAAAAATAGAAAAATGTCCTCGGGTGGGGATTAAAAAAAAAAAATTTAGACTTAAAGTAACAAGTTTATTTTTTAAATAGGAGTAGTCCCTACAGAAGTTTATTAAGATGTGTAGGTTATAATCAGGTGGGGGAGGAAAGGGTAAATATTTAAAAATTTTAGTCAGTCCAAGAGAATGCAGTGAATAAGAAAAGTGTCCGTAGGCTAAGGGTTGATGACCAGACTACAGAGCAAACAAACAAGTGGCAAAATGAAGGGCTGAGCTCTAAGAATACCGCATCTCCTGTTTCCCTCGTTAAACACTGGCTGCCGCCCCCCACCTCCCTCTCTCCCCTCACTTTTTCCATTCATACCCCCGGCAGCGTGTCAGTGATCTGTGAGTCAATAAGCCAATTTGAGAGGTATTAACTGAGCCCAGGTATAAGACCCTCAGTATGTGGGACCACATTCCCAGAAAAAGCAAGGAGCTTCCTCAGCTGCGCGTCCACACACCTCACAGAGCACCTGCACAATGTAGGTGCTTAATAAACATTGGTGGAGATTGCCTGCTGATGCCCTGGCTGGAAGCGAACTCACTTGCGAGCTCTTAACAAAGACCAATGCTCAGAGCTACACCAACAGAGATTCCACTGTAATTGGTCTGGGGCGGGAGCCAAAACATCAGCATTTTTGTAAAAACTCCCCAGGAGGTTCTGCCATGCGGCAGGGTTGAGTACAGAGGGCGAGTCTATAAGATGAACTAGAGCAGACCGTGCCTGGTGTTAGGAAATCAATGAGCTACTGCAACAGCACAGGTGTGGGAGTTTCAACCTACATTACCACCTTCTCTCCCTGCAGGACGAATTCACTGTGCTTGTCTCCAGCAGCGAGAGGCGTCGAGTGGTCTGCTTGAAGAGTGAAGGATGTAAAGCGGGAAGAGTGGAATCATGTAACCACCATGGTCTATTTAATGTCAACAGAAATGCTCCTTGTGACTTCAGAAAGCATTTTAGTCCTCAAAGAGGAAGGATGTGTTCTGGGGAGAACTTTTAAAAAATATGTTGACCCTCTCTCAAAAATTTATAGAACAACTAGACAGAATGTCAGCAGGAATAGAGAAGAATGTAAAGAACAATACCATCAGCCAGCAGAATCTAATAGACATTTATAGAACACGCCACCCAAAAACAGCAGGATGCACATTCTTTTCTATTGCTCGTGGAGCACAGACCAAGAGAGAACATATCGTGGGCTATAAAACCACCTCCACAAATTTATAAGAATTTATATCAACCACAGTATATTCTGCAACCACAATGAATCAAACTAGACATCCATAACAGAAAGATAACAGGAAATTCTCCAAACACTTGGAAACTAAACAATACACCTCTAAATAATCTACGGGTCAAAGACAAGGTCTTAGAGGAAATTTAAAACTATATTTAACTGAATGAAAATGAAAACGCAATATATCAAAATATGTAGACTACAGATAAAGCAGTGCCGAGTGACATTTACAGCACTAAATATCAACTTTAGAAATTCCTCAAATCCACAATCTCACCTCAAGATGTTAGAAAAAGAAGAGTGATGTGAACCCAAAGCAAGAGAAGGAGGGGAATGATAAAGCTAAGAGTAGAAACCACACCGAGACCCAGCAGAGGACATCGGGTGACCACACAGGCAGGCTGGAGTGATGCGGCTGCAAACCAAGGTGCACCAAGGACTGCCAGCGACCACCAGAAGCTGAGACACAAGGAAAGAGTCCTTGCAGGTTTGAGAGGGAGCACTGCCTGCCGACACCTTGATCTCAGACCCCTAGCCGCCAGAACTGAGACAATAAGTCACCTTTGTTGTGAGCCACCCGCTGATGGTGCTTTATTCTAGCAGTCCTGGGAAACCAAACCAGCTTCCAGCGAGGTAGGGCAAAAGGAAAAGCAAGAGAAAACCTGGTTAATCCAACAGAAGGCAGACATTATTTTTTAAAATAGCTAAAGAAAATGGTTGTAGGGAACAAATACAAAATAACAGAGCACAGAATCATAAAAATGTACCGGTCATTCAAAACTACAGACACATAAAACCCTACTCCCGATGAACAGAACTCACATCTTTATAAGTTCAGGGAGCATTCATAAAATTATCAGAGCCCCCCGGTTTCCAAGAAGTCTCAACGAATTTCAAAGAATCACAGTCATACAGACAACATTCCTCAACAAGAATACAATATATCTCTGAATTTGACTTCATGCTAAGAGAACTGCATAGTAAACCACAGTGATAGAGCATTTTCTAGTTATACTGCAAATACAAAAGAACACTGGAACGTGAACACTGGAACATGGTGTCGTTAGGATGTGAAAGAACAGACTTGGCCAGTGAATTGTGAATTGATACAATCTGGTAGTATCTATCAAAATTAAAAGATACATTTCCCCTTTGCCCACCAATCCATTGCTAGAAATTTTTCCTATAGATACACTTACCAATGTGCAAAAAGAAACATGTGCAAGGATTTTCATCACAGTAATTACTGGTATAGCAAAAGATACAAAAACCTTAATGTCCATCAGGGTGGGAATGACCAACTTGTGGTCTTCTCAGATAACTGAATATTCATAAGAATGAGCCAACACCATATTTGCTGATATAGAAGAACTCCAAGATCTGCAGTATATGAAACAATGTGCAGTCACAATTGTCTTTTTTTTTTACATATAGTTTTATACAGAAGAGGTATTCACATTCTAGAAACATTCCAACAATGTGCTAACAGTGTTTGTTTCTGAGAAGAAGTACTGAGACGTGGAAGACTTACTTTCACTAAGTATCTTTTTGTAATATATCTGCATTTTACCATATTCATGTATTACTACTATTCAAATAAAATAGGCAAAAGCCTCTAATCATTTTATTTATTCGCTTAAATACAGCTTCAAAAATAAAATGAAGTCTGTAGTGAGAAGCCTAATAAACTGTAGAAATTCCAAATTCCTTTGTACATTCCCTTGAAATCCCTTTATTGATGAACTGACAGAGCTAACATGTCTGTGCAATTAAGCCAGCAAACATGTTCAACAGGGTTTTCAAGAGGTTCTCTACCTGACTGCAACATGCAAAGGTCCTCAGTCCAAACCTGCAGGGCAGGAACGCTGCAAACGGATGGAAAACTGCTGCCTTTACAGCAAACCTACTGGGTGAATCCTGGCTACCACTCTGATCTCGCCCCTCCCTTATTCCCAAAGGACACACCAAGCACCTACTGGCCCAGCCTCCGGAACTTGGCCCGGGCTGCTCTGAATGCTCCCCCACCACCACCACCACAGCACACTTTCTACATGCCCCCACCAGGCAGTCACATGGCTTACTCCTGGGTTCACTCAGATCTCTGCCACTACGTCACTTGTTCAGAAAGCCCTCACCTGCTGATCTAAAACAGTACAACTCTCTGGGGCCCTCTATACCTCCTTACGCTGGTTTATTTTATTATTTCATCACTTTTCACTACCTGACATGATTTTCCTTGCTGATTTGTTTGCTCCCCACACTAGAAGGCAAGCCCCTTGAGAGCAGGGTTTGCTCCTCTCCACTACCTGGTAGCATACAGTAGGCACTAAATAAATGTTTCCCACATAAGTAAAATTTGCAAATGGGAAGTCAATAGCATCGTTTTCCTTTACGTTTTGACCAAATCCCATCTAATGTAAAGGTCC